ACATTTGGAGCAGGAGGTGACTGCATGGAAGCAAGTTGAAGACGAAAACAACTGGTAAGCCTGGCTGCTCCTTCCCCCTTGCCATGTCCGGATCACTGACTCTTGTTCCAGGTGGAAGACAGCAGAGGGAATTTACTATCCCAAGGCAGTTGAAGTTGAGGTTTGACCAGACGGCAATCTTGAAGCCCTCAGCTTTCATTCATGAACTTCGCTGCATCAGATGCATGCAGGGAAAGTAGACACAGTGATACACGCAAACAACAGATTCTCACAACCGATTTTGGTATTAAAAAAGTTATTCATTATATTGGACCCTCGTTGCCTTCGTAATTGATCGTAAGGAGATCGTACTGTTGAGAAATTCCTTGGTTGCGCTAGTCAATTTTGATACGAATAAAAGGGGTGGGGTGAACGAGTCCACCGGTAGTATGTATGAACTTATGGGTATCAAGATGAGGGTGGTCTTCTACAAACTACCCTTGAGCGATCGAGGGTGGGTTTTGCGAAATGTCGCGCCCGCTGGCCTCGGCGGTGTTCGGAAAGAAGGATGAGCATGTGAGCGGAAGAGGAAGAGGGAGGAAGAAGAAGGAAACTTGAGGGGCAGGAAGAAGGAGGGAGAGAGGGAGGGAGGGAGGGAGGGAGGGAGGGAGGGAGGGAGGGAGGGAGGGAGGGAGGGAGAGAGGGAGAGGGAAGGGGAGGGAGGGAGGGAGGATCGGAGAGGAGCGTGAGGAGGTCGAGTGAGATCAGTTAGTGCTGGGGATCTTGACATGCTTTGGCAGCGAATGCAACTAGGTCTCCACCCCAGCAAAGGAGGCAGAGAGCTGAGTCATGGTACATCAGAGGGGAAAGAGGGACTCTATCTGTGACCTTGCGCGTTATGAAGGAATACGTGTGTGTATGTTCGAAGAATACATAGCTTCCACTCATCACCTGCGGAAAGATCTTGGGCGGGTCTCTCAAACAGGTGCTAGGGGAGGATGTCCAACATGTCAGTGGTTTGAGGCGAACTACCATTGCAGGGATGATAGGAGGGACGGTCACCAGAGTTCTTCCAGGGAAGTTCGCATGCGAGGTGCTCGCTCGGGCTTCCATTGCACCTCCTCCGATTGACGTGGAGGCTCTGACAGGTAGAGTGGGACAACGGGCTGAAAGGCATCTACTACCAAAGTGTCTTGTTCACGGGCAAGGACGTTCCTCCGAAACCAGTCAATGGCCCCTCAGGCATGACGAGCACGCGACAGGTGGCCTTGATGTAACGTCTGCTCGGCAAACTGACGAGCGCGGACAGGCGAGTGATCAGCCGATCTCAGCGATTTCGTTACAAGAGATCAACGCAAGGACGAAGAAGCTGTTAGAAAACTTCAACATCCCGGATATTCGCTGATCGGCATAGCAACTTGGATGAGGTTTCCGGTTGATCAGGTGTACATAAAGCAATGGATGTGAAACAGTGAAAGATGAAAGAATACGATTACAAGCTCATACTATGGCCGTATGTTCTGACATGAACTGCTGCTGGTTAGCAAACTCCTGGTGCTCCTCTGCGATCCATCCAGTGAGGTCCATCGACATGAAATAGGCGTCTTCTCCGTCAGGGTAGTACCTGACCACAGACAAGACGTCAGGGCGAGGAAACAGCATTTAGAGCAGCATTCATGCACGGCAGGGCGCACAAGATGGTACAACGGCTCAACAACACGCTCCTCTTCCTTACCTGCTCCTCACGCCTTCCACCTGGAAGTTGAACACATCGCAGTAGAGCTTCATCGCCGCCTTGTTGCTCACCCGGACATGCAGGCAGCACCTCCTCACGTCGTAGAACTCCGTCATGGCCGTCATGCAGCGCTGGATCAGCTTGCGGCCGAGATGTAGACTCCTGTACTTCTTCAGGACTGCAAGCGAAGTTATCTGCCCTTCCACTTCACTGTCCGCTGCCGGATGGCTGAAAAGATCGTAGACAGACGCATTCTCAGGTTGCTGAGTCCTCCCGAACACGTATCCGACAGGTCTCCAGAATCTCCCTAGCACAGCGTCCTCCTCGAGCACCTCGGCGATCCAAGTCAACGTTGGGCACCTCAGTATCGAGACGATAAAGTACTGAGAGTGATAGTTCTCAGCCAGGCAGATCAGGTTCATGCGGTGCAGGTGAACCACGTCGTTGACGCAGGCTTGTCGGATCCGAACTGAGAGATGCTCGACCCCATCAAGTGTCGAGCGGGAGAGATTCATGCTCCACGAGAACCTGTCGAAGAGATCCGAAGTGCTGTCCTGCCCGGCACGCTGTAGGACTGAAACCCCTTCCCCTCCTCTCAACCCTGGCGGTCGCAGGGCTCGTGAGTCCAGCTTGCAGGCTCCTTGACGCCTCAGCTCAAGGAGGGGAGCTGAAATTTGACTTCTGCTGTGGGCAGACCCTCCCAGAAGCTCCTGCTCCCCTAGGCTGGTGACACACGAGAGCAGTGCGTACAGGAACAGGAGGAGCACCCGAGTGCTTGCCGAGCTCATGGACAGATGTTTTAGCATGTTCTACCATCATCTCCACTCTTTCTCCGTTCAGATCCTCCCTCCTCCGTCCTCCCTCCTGTCTCGCCTCCTCGCATCTTCATCGTCCTCCCCCCTCGCCTCCCTGCATTTTTCTTCACACAGCGACGATGACCCCCATCCCCCCTTTTCATACTTCTAGAAAAAGTTGAGTTAATATTACTATGATAAAGTTTTAGCTGAAATATTTTCATTTACTAATTATATAAGGTGAGAGGTGGTGTGGATGTAGGAAGAAAACTCGGCGAAACATGGAAGGTGACGCGATGAATGCAGGTGAGGAGCAGGAGCAGGAGCAGGAGCAGGAGCAGGAGCAAGAGAAGGAGCAGGAGAGTACAGGAGAAAGAGCAGGAGCAGGAGCAGGAGCAGGAGCAGGAGAGTACAGGTGCAGGAGCAGGAGAAGGAGCAGGAACACGAAGATCAGAAGCAGGAGCAGCAGGAGCAGCAGGAGCAGCAGGATAGAATGTGATGCAAATGAGAAGAGCAGGCGATGAAATTCCAGAGGTAGTCAAAGATTCTGTAAAAAGCTCTGATCGCAAGTTCGTTCCAACAGATTGATATCAGAGATTTCAAGCCAACGATGAGCAAGTCGACGTCCAGGTTTGTCTTGTCGTGTCCCTGACCTGGCTGCCATTTCGCTAAATTCCCTCTCAACAGCTCAATGTCGCTGGACGTGACTGCGGCTTCGAGATGGTTTGTCCTGACCAAGGTAATCGGCAGCGTAATGGGCATGAAAGCGCTTCTGCTGGACAAGGAAACCATGAGCATGGTCGGGTTGGTCTGTAGTCAAACTCAGGTGCTGGAGTATCAGATCTACTCCATCGATCGCATCGACAACGAGGGGAGGAAGAGCATCGGCGGCTTCAGGGCTATCTGCATCCTCCGCCCTACATCTGACAACATGAAGGCGCTCGTGCGAGAGTTGGGAGAGGCAAAGTTCGACGAGTACCACCTGTTCTTCACCAACACCGTCCAAGACCATCAGATCCAGGAGCTTGCCAAGGCGGATGTGCGTCAGGTGCGGCAGCCTCGGCTACCAAGACCTCGCTGACCCTGCCATGCAGGTTGTCAGGCAGGTGCAGGAGATCTACATGGACTTCTTCCCTCTATCGCCCGACCTCTTCGTGCTCAACGAGCCCTCCTGCATGCCCCTCGAGGCTCCCTCCTGGAACCACCAGCTCTTCGACCGGATCTGCGACGGGCTGATCTCAGTGCTCCTGGCGCTAAAGCAGAATCCTACCATAGTGTACCAGAAGAACAGCATGATTGCGCAGAGGATAGCCGAGGAGATAGAGGATCGAGTGTCAACAGGCAACAACACCTCCGACTTCGACTTGTTTCACTTTGGAAACAACAACAAGTCGAACACGGCGCTGCTAATCCTTGATCGACGGGACGATCCCGTCACGCCTCTGCTCAACCACTGGACATACACGGCGATGATCCACGAGAACCTGGGGATCACCAACAACCGAGTGGACGTTGCGAAAGCTTCGAGCTCGAAAGAGGTGCGGTCACATCCCTCCGACGAGGTTTGTTGTGCTGACGATGATGCAGCAAGAGGTGGTGTTGAACGTGCAAGACGACGAGTTTTATCGTGCAACTCAGCACATGGTGTTCGGTGAGCTTGGATCAGCGTTGAAGGAGGTGGTAGATGAGTTTCAAAAGCACGAAGGGAGCAGCATAGCGTCGGGCGCCGGAAGGTCAAAACTGCAGAGCATCGAGGACATTCAGAGGTTCATGGAGAACTACCCTGAGTTCAAGAGGCAGGAGGGGATGGTGGCGAAGCACGTGACGCTGACGTCAGCACTGAGCAGAGTGACCTCAGAGCGGAACTTGTTCGACATGTCAGAGCTGGAGCAGGAGCTCGCGTGCAACGAAAACCTGACGGAGGCTTTCAACCGCGTCGAGACGTTTGTGGAAGACAACAACGTTCCCCTTGAAGACAAGCTGCGACTCGTGCTGCTGTACTCCTTGCGATACCAGCTGGAGGGGGAGAGGGAGATCCGGTTCCTGGAACGAAGTTTGAAGGACTGCGGCATCGACGATGCGCTGCTGAGAACCGTTGGCCTCCTACGAAAGTACGCGGGGGTAGCGGTGAGAGGCAGCGACATCTTCAATAAGAACACGGTCGTGGGTGCAGCGAAGACGATCGTGAGGAAGCAGATGGAGGGGCTGAAGGGCGTCTCCAACGTGCTCATGAGGTACGAACCTCTGCTCCAGGCCCGGCTGTCTGCCATCAAACTTGCGGGCCTGAATGCTCTAAGGGAAAACGAGTTCAAGATCCTGGGGCAGCAGAAGACCGCGGCCGTGCGGCCACAGAACCTCATCGTGTTCATGGTGGGAGGGACGAGTTACGCAGAGGCCCGCTGCGTGGCTGAGTTCAACAAGGAGCAGCAGGGTCGGGGGATGCAGGTGATTCTTGGGAGCAACACAGTGCATAATACCAGATCTTTCATGCACGACCTCGTAAAGCTGCACAACGAGGCATTGATGCCTGATAGTCAGCAGATCCGGACATGACATGAATAAAGTCGAAAGAAAAAACAAACAAAAAAGAATACTACAGTTACAGTTGAGACTAGCGGTACATTGAGCATCATTCGAACCCTCAATCCTCGTCCGACGAATCCTCGTCATTTCCTCCTTGTCCAAAGATAAGTTGAGATGCCTGCAATGAGTCAGTGACCAGCTCCCCTTCCTCTCGAGGGAAAACCTGCACGGCCTTGGATTCCCTGTACTCTTCTTTGCTGACAAGGCTTGCTGGTAAGTGTGCATCAGGGAGATGGAAGGTGCAAGACAGGTCAGCTCTTACTACGGCGCATCTTCAGTCCCTCTTTGAACTTGTTGGCAGCTCGACGCACGAGCTCGTCTCTCTTGGCTCCCGGCAGCTTGAAGAGAGACGTCAGCACGCTTTGAGATCGCTTCCGCACTTCGTCCGTCTTCCTGCAGAGGTCGGTTCAAATATGATTCGCATACAAGCAATGAGGCGGACCCATATTGTGCATTGTAGATCAGAGGCTTGAAACCTCCATGGAACATGATCTTGGGCCGGTTGATGTTGGATTGCGCCAAGAGTGCGAGGGTGAGAGTAATCCCCTGTTCGATCTCGTCTACCCCGCAGTTTGCTTTCTTGAGAAGATGAGGAATTAAATTCTTCCGCGCGATGAGGACCTGGTTCTGAGAATCTCTTGCTAACGCACAAAGAGCGTGCACTGCTGCAGCCACGACGTTCTGCTTATCAGACTTGATCATGTCTTTCAAAGGATCCAAGACCTGTAACGATATTTGCGGGTGAGGCTCTCCAAGGAAGCACAAAAATGCAAAGTCCTCACCCCTTCTTCTGTCAGTTTCTGCACCAAGAAAGGGTTGACAGCAAGGAACTCCACAGATTTCGCCGCATAGATACGGACAGCATCATGGTAATATTCGCACAACTTGATGATGCGTTTGATCCCGCTCTGCTGATCGAAGTCCATGATCTTTTTGTGGTTACCCTCATGTTTGCAGAGCTCGGAGATGGTCTTCATGGCCAACGTCTTGTGCTTGTTTGACTTCAACGACGAGTGCACCACGTCGAACAGCGCTGGCAAGATGTTGTCCTTCACCATTCGAGTGTGATTCTTGGGATGCTGTGACAGTTGGTAGATTGTCTCCAGACACATGATCTCGTCTTCCAAAGAATTGTCCTTGTCCCCCTCAAGCAAGAACTTGACGATCCTGGGCAGCTATGAGAGAGGCTCAGATCCGACACACACCCTCACCCCTGTGTCGCTCCTTCTGCAATGACGCGGAACCTCGCTTCTTCCAACCTGCCAATCTGCCCTAACCCTGCAACCGCAGCCTGCGGAACAGGGAATCAGGGAGAGCAAGTGATGGCAAGATTGTGTTGGAGTACCCCTCGGACTTCGTAGGATTTGTGCTTCAGACCTTCCAACAGGGGAAGTATCGCTCCATTTTCAAGCATCTTCTGCCTGTTGTTACTCGTCTTGGCGAGCTGGGCGGGCACGAGGTCAGTCATGAAATCCCATCCACCGAGTCAAACAACCTCTGCCAGAGTCTTCACTGCGCATGTTTGTACTTCCAATGACTTGGAGTGCGTCATCTGTATCAGTGGTCCGAGGCCGCCTTCATCCACGATGTGATTTCTCACTCGGTCACTGTCCTTGGATATGCGGGCGCTAGAGCATAGCAAGTGAGCATGTCGATTCAATGGAGTGAGAGTTCCGACTCACAGGTTGATGGCTGCTTTCTTCTGATTGCGAATCAATGCAGAGCGACCAAGGGCGATGGACTTTTCAACCTCTCCTGGCAGAACCTGGAACGAAAACTTTGTTAACACCAGCTTGAACTTCCAAGTACTCACACATCGACACAGCCATGTGTTCGCCAATCACAATCAAATGGAACAAGATGGAACAAAGTACAGTTTGGGAGGAGAGAATTGGGACATATCACGACTAACAATGAACATGAGGATATCATTTCCATGGCTCATCCTCAAAGTGCTAGAAATTGAGACACCGCAGCATGAATCACCGATACAACCTCTCCACCATCATTTCAACTGCAGTCAATGCTCTTCCGCTGCAATCGCAGCATCGAGCAGCAAGCTACAGGACATCTCTCGCCGACATCAATCGCATGCTTACTTACCGGCTTCTTCTGCTCTGGCTTCTCCTCTATCCCCACGGCTTGCGCCGCCTTGATCACTGTCGCTCCCATCCCAGCATGAAACTTTTACTCAGAAATGAACCAACCCGGGCCCTTCTTGTCACCCTATACTACTGATCCTTCGCATCCACCCCTACCCTAGTCTGCATCATCACCCACCCTGAAGATATGACCCCCTGCACACCCACCCCCTATCTTTCACCTGCGTTGAAATCCAGACACTACTGAACTAATGGAGTACTACCCGTTATTACTACTGAGGGACCGTAGACTCGGCTCCTTGCACGGCCTACCGTGCCCGTACCCTACCCTTCATGAGGACACACCCCTACCTCCCTAACCTAATAATGGTACCCGTGACCCCTTAAGGGCCAGCGGTACACACGGTGGCTCACACACCACCCCTGTGCTTCAAAGAACCAGGGGTCTACAGTACCCCCTCCCTCCACGGCCTCCAAAGAGGCCCGGGGGCTCAAAACGCACCCACCCACTGCGACACTAGTAGCGGCAAATCTTTAAAGTCAGACTCGGCAGGGGGTAGTGCCTTCCTGTGAAGCAGGGGGGTGAGGTGGAGGTAGGGGTCCAAGGATTTTAGGGGGTAGGGGTAGGGTCATCAATAGGCCCTTCCAGCGGCAAAGGGCCACTTCTAGTCAGCCGTGAGGCTCTCAGATCACCCCTGGTAATCCCACCAAATTAAAAGAGATATTGGGGGGTAGGGTAGGGTAATCATTGATAGGCGATCCGCCCGGGGACTTGCCAGTTGGTCAGTCCGGGGCGCCCGGAGTCCGGGGAGTCGGGCCCCGGGCCCGGGGCCCGGGGGGTGTACTGAACTCCGAGTGCCGTGAGAGTCCGACTTTCAAGTTCCGAGTCGGGGGTCCTAAAGGCATCAAATGCCTACAAATAAGGGGGTAGGGGGGTCCTGTAGCTGACAAATCCCAGTCGTATCGGTGGGTACTTCAGAATATCCAGTTATTGTTGTATGATTTGGCGGGGTAGTAAAAGGTACAAAGAAGGGGTTCAGGTATCATTTGAGGGTACCTTCATTTCCTCGGGGGGTGGGGTGGAGTGCATGAAAAAGCTCCATACGGAATTCACAAGGATGGGGCAGAATTGTGAAATATGAACCAAATATATATTTTCTTCTACAACTTTCAAATTCGAGACAAATATTTCCATCAAATCAACCCAAATAGCATTTTGCCGGAACCCCTCACGCGACCAACGAGTTGAGTCTCAAGGCATGGCCGATGCCTCAGATGAAGAGCGGGGAGGCAGGGAAGCGACATGGACGACAAGAGGATCAGACGATGAGATGACGAGAGGATCAGACGATTTGATGACGAGAAGCAAACAAGACGAGAATGAGATTGGATGTGAAGAGGAGAAGATAGGAAGAGGAGGAGAAGAGGAGAAGAAGAGGAGAAGAAGAGGAGAAGAAGAGGAGAAGAAGAGGAGAAGAAGATTAGAAGAGAACATGAGATAGAAATCTGTGATAGCTACAACTATTTCAATGTCCTGAGTAATATGTAGACAGTGTGACATCAATCTTTCCATAGATGCCGGAGATAAAGTAGACGATTTCTAAGGAGATATCACTTGAAGATCTCCTGTTGAACCAGTAGGCAATTCTGAAACTGTCGTTCATGTCGGCGAAAGCTTGTATGGTCCTGGCTGGTACTGATATAGAAGGAACCATTTCTTTCAGAGCGGCAGATTGTTCTTCAGACGTCTCACTTGTTCTCAGAACAAAAATCAGTTTTCCCTTCCACTGATAGTCCTGTACCAATTGCATCGGTGTTTAGCTTACCGTGATCGATTACCTGATGGTTCTCCGCGTGAGAACAGCATAGAAACAACAATGCATTAGCTAGTTCATGCAAGGAAAACTCCTGCAGCATACCTTCGACACTATCTCCTCTCCCCACTAGCCTCATCTTGTACTTGCCTCCACGAATCTCCACGACCCGCCCTTCTGACTTGCTCTCTTGTTCCAGGACACTTGCTCGGATCGCCTTTCATCCCCCATCTTCCGCTTCTGTGATGAGCCTTGGTCCAACGTGAATCTTTGGCTGTGAGAAACCTCAACTTGACATCCGAAGACGGCTAGCCCCTTCGAGCATCATCATGTCAAAGAGCATATCCAACGCCAGGCTGCTCATCTTCATGATGTGGCTGATCTCGTACTCTCTTGTCGGGTGGGTTATCGTTTCCATCATCAAGTCTTTCATCGGGGATCCTGTCAAGCTCTACATCGAGTCAACTCACGACAACGCCATCATCATCATCTCCAACTTCTTCTACGTCGCCTTCAACTTCGCTGTCGGCTTCTCCGCCATCCGCTTCCTCGGGCATGTCATCTACAGCGACGAAACGAACAACCTCGCTGCTCGCCTCTCCCTGCTGAGACAGTACGACCCCACCTGGGACTCAGACGTGGTCTTCTGTGAGGACGTCATGAGGGTGGGTTCGAAGAGTTTCTTCCTCGCCAGCCTCCTCCTCCCTAGCTGGATGCGAGGGCCGGCTATAGCCCTCTACTCCTTCTGCCGCAAGGCTGACGATGATGTGGACGAGGGGAACGTGGAAGGAGCGAAGCTTCGGCTGCAGCTGCTCGAGAAGCGACTGGCAGATGCCTATGACGGGAACCCCAATGACAACCAGGTGGACCGAGCGTTCTCAGCTGTGGTGCGTGCCTTCGAGATCCCAAAGTCGCTGCTGGATGCGATGCTGGAGGGATTCCGTTGGGACCTGGACAAGGTGAAGTACGAGAGCTATAGCGACGTGATCGCCTACTCTGCCCGAGTGGCTGCGAGCGTTGGGGGGATGATGACCATCCTGATGGGGGGGAAGTGCGGAGTCACGTTTGCCCGGGCCTTCGACCTCGGGGCAGCGATGCAGCTGACTAACATCGCGCGCGATGTGGGGGAGGACGCGAGGAATGGGAGGGTCTACTTGCCTTCGGAGTGGCTGAGGGAGGAGGGGATTGACCCTAAGGACCTGCTGAGGGAACCGCGGCACAGCCCTGGGCTCGCCAGAGTGATCGAGAGGCTACTGGTGAGTTTGTTGGTGCGGTGGAGGAAGTGGCTGATGGGAGGGAACGGCGAGCAGGTCAGGGCCGACATGCTCTACCAACGTGCGGATCATGGGATCTCCATGCTGCCGCTGTCGTGCCGGGTTGCGATCCGAGCTGCTCGTCTGATATACTCTGAGATCGGTAACATGCATGTATCCTCCTTCCACTCCTTGTACTTCTGTTTCTGCTGTCCTGCCAATCCTTCTGTCGCCTAGCTTGCCTCTCTGTCCTTTCCCACCACCTCGCTCCCCTCTAGCATCGATCATCGATGCCTGCCTGCCTCCTTCTCCCTCCACACCTGCTTGCCTGACCATCTGCTCCTTACCAAAGGTACAAAGCTCAAGAAGAATTCGTTCGATAGCATCTCAAGAAGGACGGTCGTCTCCAAGAAGAAGAAGATCTTGCTGGCGATCCGGGTGCGCGCATGCGCAGCGAGGAGGACGAGGAGCCTTGACTTGCTCTCAGGCATGCGCGGAGCTTGTCCGCCCTCCTCGGGATATCTGCAGTGAACCTGTTCTTCCTGAGTGTGAGTTCCTCCTCAAGGACATCTTGCCACTGCTGAAGGTAAGGGTCCGTTTCTCCTTCAGCCTCCTCCTCCCCCTCTCCCTCCTCCTCTTCCCTCTCCCTTTTCATCATCCCATTCTTTGCTGTAAAGCTGGTAGAGTGCGATCTGACTGTCGACGACTGTCAGGAATCCAACTTGACCGGGGGGGATGTAGCTTGTTAATCCAAGAAATGGGTTGAGCGATCGCGCGGGTGTAAATTATCTTGTTCTCAGTAAATCAAGACAATGCTTATCTCGATTTCACATCACTTCCAATTTATACAAGTCTCATTTGCATTTCATGGGCAAGCAATTGAGAACACTTATCCTGTTCTACCTCCCTCCATTCTTTCCCAATACCTCCCCCCTTCCCCCCGTCTCTTCGTTGCTCCTTCCCTCCTTCCGCCGCCTCCTCTATGACAAAAAATTCGACCAAAAACTAGGGAGAGCGTTAGTTTCACGTGCAAACGAGAGATTTTCTTACTTCTCAACCTCCTGCTTTTCAGGATCACCCTGCATTCCTTTTTTGTCCCTGGTAGGGAGCAGGCTCAATGATCAGCGGACAGCTCAAGGAGGATCTCCTACCTGGGGACCCATGTTCCTTCCTCCTCCAGGGAGTCGCTGCACGACGGCATCGCGTTGTACATCCCCCGCTCCTGGCCAGGCGTCTGCTCTCCCGTTGGCAAGTTTTCCTTCACTTCCTCGTGCGTTCGCCTCAAGGTATCCAGTATCGAACTCCCCCTCTCGTGCCCCTCGTTGCCTTGTCCCTCCAGCAGCTCGCTGTCCTGCGACCTTCTCCTCTTGGAGGCTGTGGAAGGGAAGGAGGTGAACTCCGGCGCAAGCATCTCTCCCATATCCATCTGCCTGCCCAGGCGCTTGAGGCTCATGCGAGGATGCCAGTACTTCTCGAAGTAAGGCACCTTCTTGCCATCCAACTCCGTCATCGGGGCACTCGACGTGCAAGTCAGAGGCTCGTAGATCGGGTACTTGGACACGATACGGCTGCAGTAGTTCTGGTAGTACCCTCCTCCTTTGGAATAGCCTGACTCAGTGGCCGTCGAGTCCGAGCATATCGGGAGCTCGCGGGGGAAGACTCGAACGCCTTCCTTGGGTCTCTTATCAGCCTCGAGCAACTTGCCCTTGATGTAGACACGGGACTTGTCCTTGCCCGTCAGCCGCTGTACCACCTCCGTTCCCCTTTCTGCCCTTTCCAGCAGCGCGACTCCCTCCTGATCCTGGTTCTCCCTCGCATAGTCCACGGCCCTCATCCCTGCAGCGTCTTCGACTGTGAAGTTGAACTCGTACTGCCACAGCATGCGGATCACAACGTGGTGACCGTGCATGGCAGCAAGATGCGCTGCCGTCCGTCGCCCCCCCCCATCATGCTCAGACGTCACCGCATCCTTCTCAGCCCCGCGGTCCAAGAGCATGTCGACAACATCTGCATGCCCGTTGACAGCTGCAAGGTGCAGTGCAGTCATGTTGTGGATCGCGGTCCTTGCCCTCAAACTCGCCCCCCAATCCCACAACGTCTCCACACATTGCGCGTGGCCCCAGTAGGCAGCGCAGTGCATGGCAGTCCAGCCCTGCATGTCCCAGGGCCCGGCATTGTCGTTGACAAGGGGAGACACATAGTTCACCTGAGCTCCCTTCTGAAGCAGCCTAGTGACATGGGCCTCGTCTCCCGACCTGGAGGCCTTGTGCAGATCCGCGTTCATCCTCTTTCTGAACCTCTCTGCTTGCTTCCTAGCCCATTCGTTACTAGCATTTCTCTCAGGAGGAGGTTCAGACGCGCTGAAGCCTCCCACGAGGTGGAGACAGAGACTGCTATGGCGCGCCTTCGCTCTCCAGAAGGGGGTAGGCAGGGCGGTCATGGCACAAGACCAAAATAGAACGAGGGGCACGAGAGGATACCATGGCGAAGGGCTGACCCTGACCCTGACCCTGACCATGCACACCGTTGAGCTCCTCTTCCTCTCTCTCGGATCGGAGCTCATGAAGCAGCGACAGGAAGCAACAGCATGTTTCTTCAGCTCCTCTCCGCTCCTCTCTGCGAGTCGAGCAGTTTCGAGATGAAACCCGTGCCGCTTCCTCTCACCGCGCTCTCCTCATCCTCCTCTTCTCTCCTCCTCCTCCTCCTCCCTGTCGCCCATGGCGCGGGAGCAGAGACGGTCCCTTGTGACCATGCAGACGCATCGACCATTTCACCCAGACCCACGGGAGTCCAGCCCGCCCCAGAGCCCGCCCGGTTCGCCGAAGGCGGTGGGTCATATGGGGACGAGGGCGGACAGCCCCTTTAAGTGTCATAAAAATGCTCTCCAAGGCGCTGGTGGGAGCGGCGATCGCGGCATGCGTTCCAGGAGCGTTCGGGTTCGCTCCAGCAGGAGTGAGCCTGATGAAGACTCGCTCCTTGAGCCTCCGGGGACCTCGCATGGCGGGAGAGAAGGTAGCTTCTTGTGCTGCTCCCTCCTCGTTGCGCGCTCTGACCTGCCTTGGACCCCTGTTGTCCTCTAGGTCGGAAACGTCAACGAAATCCCTCCAGGTGCCGACGATAGGCAGCTGTCCTTGCCATGCATGACTGAGTGGACTGGATCGCAGGCGAGCGTAAGATCACCAAGGTCGGCGATCAGGACGTCATGGTAGTCAACCACAAGGGCACCGTGTATGCTCTGAGCCCTAAGTGCCCTCACTTGGGTCTTCCCATGAAGACGGTGAAGTCCGAGACGCCTGCTGTAGCTGCTGTTGACTGCTTCTCAGGGTGAGATCTCCGACGATGGTCCCTGCATCAAGTGCAAGTTCCACGGAAGGTGTGCTGTTCTGCCGCCCCCGCCGCCTGTTTTACGTTTTACAGCAAGTTCAAGCTCGACGATGGCAAGTGCGTGGAGTGGAGCACGGGAGTTCTGGGCATCCCTGGCACTCAGGCTCTTGGAGGCTTCATCGGCAACGTAGACCTGATGCTTGTTGCATGCTGCTCGTCCTAACAATTATGCTGCTCCAGGTCGGAGGCGCCAAGAACTCTCCGGCCACCGTGTTTGCAGTCGAGGTCGATGCTGAGGGAGGCATCATCGTTGACACCAGCAAGACTGGTAGAAGTGGCGTCGCTGCCTAAGTGTCTTATGTTGCCTGCGCTTCCAGTGAAGCTGGGCTGGTGTGTTGGTACACTGAGTTACTCTCGTTTCAATTTCTCCCTCAGCTGTTCCTAGCAAGCGAACGTATCGCTGCTTGCAAGCCTCTGCTCGACCCCTGGGTGCTTCTCTTGCGAGCGAAGGATGCACAACCCGAGAGCTGGGAACTAACCTTCAACCGACTTGAGAGTTTTGGTACAACCAGTCTCATTGTCTGGTTCCTTTCACTCCCGTTGCAATGATGCTCCTTGATCGCTCACCTAATTCTAATCCGAAAGCGGAATGGTAGGATGCGTCCTATGGCCGTGAATGTCAGCGCAAGTTGAAAGCCAGCAGCTACCATTCAAGTCGCACGAACCCATGATCATCACTGACTACTGTCCTTACTAACTTGAGTCGGTTTGATGAGCCTCCGAGTGCCGAATCTCGAAACTTGAGCCTACAAGAGTCACTGAGGAAAGCAACTTGTACGATTCCGAAAACTAAAACCCGAGCCAGTGAACGGTTGCAGACCAGAGCCTTTGAAACTACTCAGCCCGGGCCGGTCCCGGGCAACCGTGGCATAACCCGGTGAACGTTGACTCAGTGAAACCGTTCCCTCATAAGTGAAACCGGAAGTCTCTTTACTTGAGGTGGGTGAGAGGTAAAAAAAGATAGTTACTGGTCAAAAGTGAGCACACGACACAAGCCTCTATCACCGGCCTGCGCGGGCGATGCAGGAGGAGGGCGAGGGCGAGGGAGGGAGGAGGAGAGGGCTGGATGGTCGTCATGGCATGCGATGCTGGCCGTCGTCTGGACTTGCAGCTGTCATCCTAACCTGCCTGCTGGGGACTTGTCAAGGTGAAGTTTCTTGCTCGTTGCGATGTTTCGATGTTGGTGTTGATGACGTTGTGCAGGGCAAACATACCGTTTCTGCGAGATCGAGTGGAAGACATGCTACCGAAGCAACACAAAAGACTTCACAGGAGGCTTCTATGATCCTCTGTTCCCCAGCGTATGCGAGAGAGCGAGGAGTGACCCTAGATCGATCGGCGTGTCGCTGCATTGCTCGTGGGCCATATTGAGTGATGATACTACGATCATGTTGCAAACCGTGGCAACAGACGTACAGACCTACAACAACACGGGGGGAGCTGTGAAGGACCTGAGGCAAGGCTTGAAGGCACCGTCACAGTGATGCTGATGTTTCTTCCAGGTTGTACAAGGGATCGCTGTCGGGCGATGGCCCGCAGAGGTACAGAAGGATCGGATGGTACTACGGCCTGGGGGACGCGACGTACATGCCAGGGCTTGAGCTTGCTCAAGGCTTCGTCTCCTGCCCAGTCTCGCCGTGCTCGGCGGGAGCAAACGACTTCTACATTTTCCAGATCACTCGCATATCCGAGCCCCAGGCACAGTCGTCGACCAACCCTTTCGATAGACGCGTGTTTGCGCGGTACTCTTTCCAGGTGGACTTTCCGAGCGGAGGAGACTACACGGTGAGAGGAGAAGAAGGCGGTACGGGGGCCTCGCAGACGATACTGACGTGAGACGCTTTCAGGTATATTTCGAGGGCTGCTGCCGGCAACAAGCGGAAGGAGCCGTGGCTACCAACGGAGACTACTTGGTGCAGAATAACCCGCTCTGGCCATTTCATGTGCGAGCAGCAGTGACGGTGCCGAGTACTGGCTCAGTGCCGCTGTACAAGTCATCGATCCGGTGGAACATGCCCGATGTGACAGTGTTACGATCAGCTTCCCCGCAGACAGAGAACTCAGCCTGTGCTTCTACGATTTGTCTGTCAAGCAGTTGCTATCGATCGTTTACCTTGCAAGCATATCATCAAGAGGCGAGCTATCCCATCTGTGAGTCATGACCCTAGATATGGTACTTGACCTCGCCTGACCTGCTTGTTTTCAGATTATCGATTGGGCACGATCCGGGAGATGGGAGCGTACAAGTGCTACTCGGGCACGGCTCCGCCGTCAGTGCTGCAGCGATACGACAGCGCTCGGTGCACCTTGACAGAGGTACAAGCGACGTCGACGTCTTCACTGCCCGTGAGGATCCGAGGAGATCAGTTTGACTTCGACGTGAACAGGGAAGGGACTTTTCAGGTGACGGTGGTAGCGTACACGTACATCTCAGGCAAGGAGATGGGGGTGGCAGTAGACTTCTTGGTGAAGGTCTTGGCTCCGGGGACCTCGAACTGGCATGCGCCCAAGTTTGCTTTCCCTCTCACGACCACGAATGTCAACAGCGTGCAGATCCAGTGCGGAGAGAATCAGTGGATATTCAACAGCACTACACCCACGTTCAAGGTGTACTTCCAGAACGATGTCAACACTAAGCCAGCAGAGTGTATCGAGACGGGGCAGAGACTGCGGTACATCGCTCCGTCGACAGACTTGCCGAAAGGCGTGTCGTACACTCAGCATGTGGAATCGAACTTGAACTACATCGAGATAGCGTGGAGGCCACAATGCGAAGATCTGTCGCAGGTGGGGCTATTTCAGTTCTGCTTTGAAGCAGAGGACACGGTAGACGTGGGGTCAGCAGCTAGCTTCAAGGCGCTGCGATCGAGCCCATCATGCTTCTTTGTATACAGCCGTCCGCCCTTGCCAAACCCCTCTCCTTCTTTCATCTCACCGACGAAGTACCTTGACTGCTCTGAGACTTGTTGCGAGTGTTGTGGCTTGGAGAACTGCGCCTGTACCAACAACAAATGTTGCAACAGGGAGTTTGCAAAGGCAGGGACCCTGTATCAGTTTCCCGTGCATGCGCATGACAACTACCTTCCGGAGGCCCTCAACGTGAAGTTCACAGTCGCAGGCCCCACCCTTGACAAATATCCGCGGGATGTGTATCCTCCTGTGGGGAAGAGCAATAAGTATTCCTGCGGGGACTCGAGCTACGACACTTGTACCTCCTCCTACACCGCCACCTCGGGGAGGAACGACGTGCTGAACGCGCTAGAGTGGGATCTGATGAAGATGTATCCTTTCAAGTGCGCAAACTCTTCGCTACAGTGCAGCGGACCATCCGACACCTCATGCCCCAACGCTGCGCCCTGCATTGAGTCCAGCAGCACCAACTTCGTTGGACCCTTGAAGGTTTGCTACCAGGTGACGGAGCAGCTTCGCGTCGGGGTGGACGGCGCCCTGTGGCTGCAAACCTACGGCATCCCCCCCAACAACGACACGTGCAAGATCTGCTTCTCTCTCGCCATCGCAAGCAGCCCCTTCTTTCTTGAGAGCTCTCAGTTATTCCAGTCAAGGGTGGGCCTTTCTGACCACTGTGTCCTCAATGCTACTTGGACCCATATCATCAGTAACCTTCACCTACCTTCTGTATCAGCAGTTCCCCGAAATCTTTCATTCATCACAGGTAAAAATCCTCTGCACAAAATGCACCATGCTTCTGAGCTACAATCCTCGCAGGGGGGCTGGGGGCTTCAATGGTGACGAATGTATGGGAAGTTTGGGTATGCCAGTTTGGACATGCATGCATTTGGGAGCTAGGAGGTGTGAAGAGAAATGAGCAAGTATGTTCTGCACTGCTGATCTGCTGTGTGGGAGACAGTTGCTGTCTCTGTCGCTGACATTTCTGGTAAACAGGCGGAGGCTGTTTGCTTCGTCTACGATGAGATGAGGTAAGCACGAAAAAGTTGACAAGTTGTATTGCCTCGTGACTGAGTCGAATTCCCATGTGCAGGAAGAGTTTTCTTACTTGGGGTCTGCTTTCTGAGCTTGGTCTAGCTGGTGCCTAGCCAGCAGCTCCATTGTTTTTGAGAGGAGATGCCAGTGAGAGGAGAATGCATGCGCTATTGCGATCAGTGTCGGACTTGTACAAGCTCTACTCATTCAGCATCGTAACTCAACACAAGAAGTCGACCGTCACTTTGTGATCGGACCCGCCCATTGCGAAATCCAACAGCAGAAGCTTCTTTTGACATGAACACAAAATGTATATGCCTGAGATATTTCATGATTCTCTTCACGTAGAAGGTTGGGAGTATGACCATCTTCTGTGGATCGATCCCAATTCTCACCACACAGATCTCAACATGTTCAGTTCAAACTTTGCAATATCACTCAATCAACTTTTCGATCATACACACGACCGTCGACCATTTTCATCACGCCGTATATGTCATGCCACGATTGGATGTACAATGCAATCTTGATCTCATCTCGATCTACATTCTCATTACCTCTATAGACGTGAAGCCCTCAACTCTTTCTCTTGCTTGTTGTGTAATCTAAGTATTTTGCAGCATCACAATGTTTGATTCGACGAGTCTTCCATTCAAATATCATTCAGTGTATTTGACATCCATCGCCAATGTTCCATGTCAGACTCAACGTTCAATGTAGCAGCTGCATTTCCCTTGTACCCCTTCAGAGGTTGTTCTTCTCCTGCCATGAATGCTGTCAGCATCCATTCGAAATGAAACATTCTCTCGCACATCGCTGCGGCCGTTCAGTTTGGTCCCCTTCTACATTTCTCTTCCTCTTGTACATTCGACCTTTGTTGCTTCGACATAACTTCTTGTACAGAGTTGTGTATGAAAGCTCAGTGAACCCCTCTCTCTCTCTGTTCTCCATGCATCTTCTCCATACCTTTGTTTGACAAGTTCAACGTAACCATGATTGAACAATCTGAATAGTTCAGATGGTCTATTCTAATTTCAGAACTCAGATGCGCAAGTCCTCTACCAATCTCTTCGATGGTCAACATGACTGCTTTTGATTTGCAAAGATTCTATCTCTTGTTGGAACACACCAGTTTGATTCCCTCCAACCGTTACAGTGGACCAAGGCGCAACCGTTCACCATCTATCTTCTCCTCTTGCCCAGAATTCCATCGTTACCATCAACTCCTGCAAGGTGTCTTCTGTGGGAAAATGAAGCCCTGAGGAACGGGTTGTACCATTCCTCCCCACGTGAATGTTTCGCCTTCAATCATCCTGCCTGTCCTGTCGTTGAGCAACAACATTCCCGGCGCTTTCCCTCCCCCTCCCCTCACCGTCGCCTCATCGCCTGTATCTGTCGTGACGGCTGCAGTCCTGCCATGATCTCATGGAAGCCTCGGTTCATCATAGCAGTCATTTCCTCTCGCAGCTTCTCAACGTTTCCCTCAGCAAGAGCAACACGTCCGTTAGCCTCAATACTCGTCATGATCAAGCGAAAGATTTCTTCGGGCAAGCAAGCTACAACTACTTTCACGGTGTTACATAGCAGCTTGAGTCCCAGCGCTCGATTTTCTCGTAGTTTTCTGATCTCACCAACATTCATGACATGCATCGGAAGCTCCACTGCCTGTCATACCACATTCTTGACATTTCCCATGGCAAAACTGATGTAACGCTACCTCAACTCTTTCAGGAATTGCATTGTTTGCGATCCCTTGAACCCAAAAGCCAGGAGATCTCTACAGGAAGTGGTGACTAGGAAGCATCAGACTGGATGATGGTTCAAGATCTGCGCAAGGAAGACGGGTAAACACCTCTTGTAGCTGCCAAGACATGCCTTGCTCTCAGAGAAAGAGTGTCGGCGTCAACCCCTCCTTGGTACAACTTCGTTTTCATGATGGTCAAACTTCAAGCAGTCGTTCTCACAATCAAAGTGCTGGAGATGTAGAATGTCTAATACCTCGCTCCCACAGCAACAGTTCTACATGATGGTTGTGGCAGCAAACCCGAACATGCCTGTTGATCCTACTTCTCGCATAATAACGTCTGAACGGAGTTGGATCATCTTTTCACAGACAAGTCCATACTCTTTCAATGCCTACCCGCTCTTGCCTTGTTTCATGATGCCCATGGATATCTTTCGGGCAACCACCCTGGCATAGCCTTTGATGAGTCGATTGAGACTTTCGTCCAACAACTAGTATACCTTCAGGGCGCTCTTGTACCGTTGCAGCGATCCTACCGACATCGTCTGTTTGCTGGCCTGGTAACATGAGAAATTCACATCCTCCCCTTGTGAATCGGTGTTCTCAGGATTTTGTGCCTCGTCCTCCTGGTCCTGGTCCTCCTGGTCCTCCTACTTGACCTGGTCCTCCTCAGCCTCCAGACCTTCACCCCCACCAACTCTTGTTGTTCTTCGTTATCTTCGGGTCCCTCCAACCGATCGCCTGCCCTCAACGACGCAACTCTTCTGTTTTGCCAGCATTGTAATTCGGTGTTTGTTACGAGCTCTCCAGACAGGCACTGAAAGTTTTCGCATGCTATTGGGAGGACCTTCACGAGCAGACTCACGATCCGACTGATCTTGCTGGTGTACATTCTCATCGTGTTATCAGCCATAACTTTGCTCTCTATCAGGTCAAACGCCCGCTCCTGTCGTCGCTCACGCGCCTCCGACATCGTTCTGCTGCGCCTCCGACATCGTTCTGACATCGTTCTGCATTTTTGGTCGCATTCTACCAAAAGGGGTGCAACTTCAGGGGTCTGTTTCCCATGATCCTGTACACGTGGACAGGGGTAGGGGTAGAGATAAGACCATTCAGAAAGGGGGTGGGGTACCTGGTGTTGTCGATTACAACAAACTTGATTTTGTTTATTTTGCGCGCGACACATAAATCGGAGGGGTAGTTTCCTAGGAAACAGAAGGGGTAAATGAAAGGGGGTAGTGGACAAGGAAAAGATGAGGGGTGGGGTTAGTCAAGGCGGCGTCCGGGGCGAAGAGGCGCCATGGGTGAGGCTCCTCACCGGCCGGCGCGGGCGATGCAGGAGGAGGGCGAGGGCGAGGGAGGGAGGAGGAGAGGGCTGGATGGTCGTCATGGCATGCGATGCTGGCCGTCGTCTGGACTTGCAGCTGTCATCCTAGCCTGCCTGCTGGGGACTTGTCAAGGTGAAGTTTCTTGCTCGTTGCGATGTTTCGATGTTGGTGTTGATGACGTTGTGCAGGGCAAACATACCGTTTCTGCGAGATCGAGTGGAAGACATGCTACCGAAGCAACACAAAAGACTTCACAGGAGGCTTCTATGATCCTCTGTTCCCCAGCGTATGCAAGGAAGCGAGGAGTAACCCTAGATCGATCGGCGTGTCGCTGCATTGCTCGTGGGCCATATTGAGTGATGATACGACGATCATGTTGCAAACCGTGGCAACAGACGTACAGACCTACAACAACACGGGGGGAGCTGTGAAGGACCTGAGGCAAGGCTTGAAGGCACCGTCAACAGTGATGCTGATGTTTCTTCCAGGTTGTACAAGGGATCGCTGTCGGGCGATGGCCCGCAGAGGTACAGAAGGATCGGATGGTACCACGGCCTGGGGGACGCGACGTACATGCCAGGGCTTGAGCTTGCTCAAGGCGTCGTCTCCTGCCCAGTCTCGCCGTGCTCGGCGGGAGCAAACGACTTCTACATTTTCCAGATTACTCGCATATCCGAGCCTAAGGCACAGTCGTCGACCAACCCTTTCGATAGACGCGTGTTTGCGCGGTACTCTTTCCAGGTGGACTTTCCGAGCGGAGGAGACTACACGGTGAGAGGAGAAGAAGGCGGTACGGGGGCCTCGCAGACGATACTGACGTGAGACGGTTTCAGGTATATTTCGAGGGCTGCTGCCGGCAACAAGCGGAAGGAGCCGTGGCTACCAACGGAGACTACTTGGTGCAGAATAACCCGCTCTGGCCATTTCATGTGCGAGCAGCAGTGACGGTGCCGAGTACTGGCTCAGTGCCGCTGTACAAGTCATCGATCCGGTGGAACATGCCCGATGTGACAGTGTTACGATCAGCTTCCCCGCAGACAGAGAACTCAGCCTGTGCTTCTACGATATGTCTGTCAAGCAGTTGCTATCGATCGTTTACCTTGCAAGCATATCATCAAGAGGCCAGCTATCCCATCTGTGAGTCATGACCCTAGCTATGGTACTTGACCTCGCCTGACCTGCTTGTTTTCAGATTACCGATTGGGCACGATCCGGGAGATGGGAGCGTACAAGTGCTACTCGGGCACGGCTCCGCCGTCAGTGCTGCAGCGATACGACAGCGCTCGGTGCACCTTGACAGAGGTACAAGCGACGTCGACGTCTTCACTGCCCGTGAGGATCCGAGGAGATCAGTTCGACTTCGACGTGAACAGGGAAGGGACTTTTCAGGTGACTGTGGTAGCGTACACGTACATCTCAGGCAAGGAGATGGGGGTGACAGTAGACTTCTTGGTGAAGATCTTGGCTCCGGGGACCTCGAACTGGCATGCGCCCAAGTTTGCTTTCCCTCTCACGACTACGAATGTCAACAGCGTGCAGATCCAGTGCGGAGAGAATCAGTGGATATTCAACAGCACTACACCCACGTTCAAGGTGTACTTCCAGAACGATGTCAACACTAAGCCAGCAGAGTGTATCGAGACGGGGCAGAGACTGCGGTACATCGCTCCGTCGACAGACTTGCCGAAAGGCGTGTCGTACACTCAGCATGTGGAATCGAACTTGAACTACATCGAGATAGCATGGAGGCCACAATGCGAAGATCTGTCGCAGGTGGGGCTATTTCAGTTCTGCTTTGAAGCAGAGGACACGGTAGACGTGGGGTCAGCAGCTAGCTTCAAGGCGCTGCGATCGAGCCCATCATGCTTCTTTGTATACAGCCGTCCGCCCTTGCCAAACCCCTCTCCTTCTTTCATCTCACCGACGAAGTACCTTGACTGCTCTGAGACTTGTTGCGAGTGTTGTGGCTTGGAGAACTGCGCCTGTACCAACAACAAATGTTGCAACAGGGAGTTTGCAAAGGCAGGGACCCTGTATCAGTTTCCCGTGCATGCGCATGACAGCTACCTTCCGGAGGCCCTCAACGTGAAGTTCACAGTCGCAGGCCCCACCCTTGACAAATATCCGCGGGATGTGTATCCTCCTGTGGGGGAGAGCGATAAGTACTCCTGCGGGGACTCGAGCTACGACACTTGTACCTCCTCCTACACCGCCACCTCGGGGAGGAACGACGTGCTGAACGCGCTAGAGTGGGATCTGATGAAGATGTATCCTTTCAAGTGCGCAAACTCTTCGCTACAGTGCAGCGGGCCGTCCGACACCTCATGCCCCAACGCTGTGCCCTGCATTGAGTCCAGCAGCACCAACTTCGTTGGACCCTTGAAGGTTTGCTACCAGGTGACGGAGCAGCTTCGCGTCGGGGTGGACGGCGCCCTGTGGCTGCAAACCTACGGCATCCCCCCCAACAACGACACGTGCAAGATCTGCTTCTCTCTCGCCATCGCAAGCAGCCCCTTCTTTCTTGACAGTGAGACATCGAACTCGGGGGTGCAAGGAGAAGGTACCCAGCCCAACGGCAGAATCTTCACAGTCCTCCTCGGGTCCACCTTGACCATCCAGCTGCTCGCCACCATCAACAACGCAGGACAGGATGTGATGATCGCTATGCTCTCGGACCCCGGAGCGCCTCTGGGCTCGTTTATGACTCCCCAGGAGACCATCCCTCGCGTTTCTCCCTACAACAACCTCGCCTACCGTCGTTACTACAACTACACAGCCCAAGTCGGGCAGGAAGACACTCAGATCTCCATCTGCTTCCAGGCGTACGCGGGCAACGGCATGACTTCCCTTCCTCGCTGCTTCTACATCCAAGTCTCCGGTCCTGACATCGCCATGTCCATCAGTAACCTCTGCCCCGCCGGCTCCCCCTGCCCTCCCATGAGCAACTTTGCTAACGTCACGGTCGGCTGCGAGTACGCTCTGTCCATCTCGGCTGCTTCTCCCAACTTCGGCATAAAGGTCATGGAGGAGCTGATGCCTGTCTGCGACGAGTGCGGGGCCTCAGTCGTTCCCTGCCAAGGGCTCAACCCTTCCGAGCAATGCTGCGGCAACGGCGTCTGCGACGGCTTTGAGAGCGGTTCCAACTGCCCTGCTGACTGCCCGGCGGACGACATCCAGTTCGTGCAGACTGTCGTGGGATCGGCTACCAACTCCTGGAAGAACGAAGCACAGTTCTCATGGATACCAAGTAGGGGGATGGAGGGGAGAGACATTCTACGATGCTTCCTCGCAAGACCGACCATTTCAGGGTTCGACCCTGCCAAGCTTGGGCCCAACGATCCCTCCATTGACGTCTTCTCCAAGAGATATTGCATCCTCTACTCCGTGGAGCGATGTAGATACTGCGTGCCGCACGCCTCTACCTTGAGCACGCTGGTACTTGACTTGATCTTACGATCCCCCAATGCTTCCTTCCTACTCTTCTCTTCACTTGCTTATGCTTCTTTCTACTTCACCTCAGTCATTCCCTCCTCCTTCACTCCTCCCCTCTCCCTCCTCCTCACCGATCCCTTACAACATGAGTGATCGGCGCGTGCAGGTCGCTCGCTACGACTTCCAGATCAACTGGTTGAGGGTGTACAACAGCAACCCCATGGTCAACCCCGACAGGCTTTCAGCTGGCGACAAGTTCGTCATCGGCCCCAAGTACCTCGTACAGCCCGGCGATACTCTCGTCACCATCGCAGGTACTCTATACTCCTCCTCTTCTTGCTCCTCCCCTCTCTACCTCCATCTCCTCTGCCTACTTAATTCAGCCGTGCATTCTCGTTGTAAGCTTGAAAATTTCGATCACTCCCTCCCCTTGTTCTCCGCCCGCAATGCGTGAAAAGTGCTCAAGTTTCTGACGACGATGGTGGCAGCAATGGCGCAGATGACGCTGAAGTCGCTGTTCTCACTCAATCCAGACCTTGTCTATCAGGTTCCTCACCCTCTTCCTATTCCATCACCCACGCTCCCTCCTTTTTGAATCGCCCACTCCTCTTTAAGATCCATCGTTTACTTCTCTGCGCTCCGTCTTCTCCCCCCCTTCCTCTCAACTTCTCCTTCGTCTTGTCCCCCGTCTCTCGCTCTGACTTGTGCTCTTCAGAACCAGACAGTCCTGCCAGTAGGCCATCCGGTCTGCCTCCAACTCTGCGGGGCATGAGAGGGAGTGCAGACATGTACAGAAGTTGAAAGAGGGACTGACAGCAGTCATATTCATTGATTCTGACTTGCATGCTCTGCCTGCAACCGTCGTCATGTTTCGACGACTTGTGAATATTACATGATGGGAAATCAACTCAGCCCCGGCCATACTTCACCCTCCCAATCTCTTCATCCCTTGATCATCGTCGGGGTGTATCTTAAAACTTTTCGATGATCCGCTGTCTGCTCTGAGCAACCTCGGAAAGAAGAGCTTGACTGTCCTCGACCGTTCATACTTTGATCACAGCGACTTCTGCGAAGGTCCATGAGCACAACTGCATGCCAGTCAGCGGACGGTAGGAGGAGTAGGAGGAAAGAGCAGCTACAGGAGAGTCGGCCTCCCGCATGGTTCTTCCTCCCAGTTTTCCAGCCAGGAAAAGCTTCTCTTGGTCGTTAGGAACCTGGTGAGGAGACAGTGACAAGGTTGATGGGCAGTGCGTTCGAGGAGCCGGTGAGAGCTAGGACGCCATGGGGAGGAAGGGAAGGGGAAGTGGTAGACCAGGAATAAAGGAAGAGCAGAGGTAGAGGAGGGAGCGGTGAAAACGGTTGAGGAGGGAGGAGGGGAAGGGGTAGAAGAAGAAGCAAGGCAATGGGGAGTCGGGGAGAGCGAGCAAGAGTAGCAGTGATAGTTGTTGCATGTGGTTGTCGAAAGGGGGTTGAAGAAGACGATGGATGGGAAGGGGAAAGGAGACAAAAACGCGTCAACGTACGCCAGGAGGCATGTGGAAGATCGCGCCGGAGAGCAGATCGGAGAAGGATCGTTGAGGATCGTCGAGATCTGAGAGAAGGTGTAAAGGGAGAGAGAAGAGCTGAGGAGCGCAGCATTCCGAGCTCACCAATCTCTAGGGCATGCGTGAAGCAAGGGCCCTTGCACCACACGTGCCGGACAGGAGCGACGTCCGGCTCTTTGTAGCTCCTACGTAGGATGCAGGGCTCGTGCTGGGCAGAGCTGCCGTTGACCCCTCCTGTGATGTTGGATATGCCGCTGACAGGAACGTCCAGGCACCATCGTTGCCCGTCGGGCACATCGCTGGTCTGCATCGCATCCACGTTCCCGTCCTCCTCGTCGATACTGATGCTCAGGGCCTCACACAGCGGCTTTGCAATGTCTTGCTCGTAGTCTTCTCCGAAGACGTCCTTGTACGACTTGGGCACCCAGTCAGGAGGAGCATACAGACGAAACACGAACGCATGCTTGTCCTCCACCATCTTCGGCGACCATCTGGGCGGCCTGCGCGTTAGTATTCCTTTTGACCATGGTTGCGACGTGTAGCCTCCGAAGATGTGCCCTGTCGCCGTGCGAACGAGGACGAGCGATGGCGCAACTCCATCGCATCGCCGATGGAACTCTCTGCTCTCAAATCCATGCTGGGACGCCACAAACATGGCATTTGCCGCCATCACCGGCGCTCCCACCCACTCCTCAAGCTGCGCCACCTGCTGCTCCGTGAGGTTGAGATGTTGAGAGACGGACCAGAACGGCGGATCTACAGCCTCTGCTGCTCGTTTCGCCTCCTCCTCTCCTTCGTTGATCCTCTTGCGCAAGGAATTGAGCTGATCTGTCCATCGCGACAAGGCAAACGCCTTGCTGAACCTCTCGATTGACTTCTTATGTAGCATGCGGGCATGGCTGAAATTGCCACTCGCCGCTGCTCTCTCAGCTGCTTGCAAGAGAGCTTCTCCCTCAGGACTTGAGTATATCTCGTCGTAATTGGAAGGGATCGGTTGAACCTTGGGCATCAGATCCACCACCGGCCCTCCTCCTCTCAGCCTTACGCGCATATCCCAACATCGCTGCTCCCCCCCCCCTCCTCCCGCTTCTAAGCTGCTCAACTTCCACATCCTCGTCAACCCTCTTCCTCCTGCTCCTGCTCCTGCTCCTGCTCCTGCTCCTCCTGCTCCTCCTCCTGCCATCGCTGCACCCAACCCAGCTATCATCCACCATACCGGCAAAGCGCCTCCTCCCATGCCGATATCCTGTCCCACTTCCCTCCACATACCCACATCTCCCTCATGCCCCAATTGGGTTCACAACGGCCAGCATAACGTTCATTGTAACGGTATAACGGTCTGTGCACGGAGAATGGAGAATAGCCCAAGTGCTGTTCGTGTCCCAAGTTGAACATCTCCTTTCTGAGTATTCACAACTTGTTGATTGAAAACAGGTTGACAAGTATCTCAACCAAAATACATTCATATCCAAGACACTCCATCGTCGTGCATGAGTAATGACGCAATCACGACGGATCTGCCCAATCAACGCAAGACCAAAATCGTACTGCGATTCGTCCAAGCCTGCAGCTGTTTTAAGATTTCTGCCCCGTCTGATCCATCTGCATTCTCAATCAGTAAATGTCATTCTACAGTTTAAACTCTCCTCCCTCCATGATTGAATGGGGCTCTGCTCGTGCCAACGACAAATATCTACTGGCTATCACAGTGATTTCCTTGCTATGGGCAACGCAATCACGAAAAGTTTATCAAAGATGGAATAAATTGAATTGGAATGTTTATTGAATTTAGAATACATGAATATCGTGTCGAGTACAGGTGAGTTTTCTACAAAGTGCGCTTTCCTCGCTCTCAGGCACCGATCTCTTGCGTGTGCTCTCAGGATCTTCTACAGAACCGTTGGCTTTTGAGGCGCTGTTCAGCTTCACCCTGGCAACAAGGATGTTGTTGAAGACGAAGTTCTTGGCGGTTGGAGCATCGAGTTCCTCGGTTGCCTTCGACTTGGCTCTGGCGACCATGTCGTCCATGCACGCTTTCTGTGCCTCGTTGAGCCTGAACGACTTGCGGGGCTCAGTCGCAGAGGCAGCGTACATCCGAAGATCGCGAATGATCTGAAAGCTCTTGGGAGCCATTCTTCTGGGAGTTCTCGAGAGGAAGGAGGAAGAGAAAGAGGACGAGCGGAGGGTATGCTGCAGGTAGAGCGAAGAGGAGGATGAGAGTCCCGCCCGAAGGAGTCGACTTTATATTTGGGATTCCGTGTAGTAAACTCCCTGTAGTACAAGACAATCTTTACTACTAGTTGCATTGGTCTTTTCAGTCAGCAAGCGGTCGACAGCGTGACGTCAATATCACTTGAAGTCCAACGGACGCGAGAAGTCGACTGTAGGACCCCAAAACAATACCTTTATGGAGGGGGTGGATGGTGGTAAGCAAAAATTGGCTTGCGCGGGGATGTGGAGAAGCTATAAGAACAGCGCTGGTAGAAGAAGTCGGATCCTTTTTGAAGGGACCCAAGGCAAGCTCCGAAGGACCACCCGTAGTATGTCTTCCTGGTAGGAGAAGGGGGTGGATTTCAATTACAGATGGAGCCAGATGACATCAACGCAAGAGACACTATCAATCCATGGCAGCGTAACTGAGTCAGCCCATTCCAACCTGTGTATGTTTGAAGATTACAACACACATTGCTGATATCGAGTTAGAGGGACGCTAGCTCAGAGGGTGGGGTTATCTCAAGCTATATCGTAGGGTAGGGTACAGCCAACTTACAGGTAATCCCGGTTCGGTCATTTCACGAAAATGTGTTTTTTGAAGTTTCTGCCATGTTTATGCCATGATTTCCGCACCCTCTTTACAACACCAGATCTGAAACATTGCTTTCTTGAGGCTCTTTTTACAGCCATTGTTTTGCATCCCCGACCGAGGGCACCCTACCCTCCCAAGAAACAGGATCAGGTAATAAAAAAGGGTACCCCTACCCCCTCGTTATTTCGACCCGCCATGATAGCGAGGCCTACGGCACATCAACTTGCTGCCTTTGCTTGCTGTAAGGTACCTTGACTTTGGTGCCCCACCCTAAGGACTGTTAGTGCTCCTGATCCTGATCCTGATCCTGATCCTGCTCCTGCTCCTGCTCCTGCTCCTTCTCCTGCTCCTCCTGCTCCTCCTCCTCCTCCTCCTGCTCTTGCTCCTGCTCCTGCTCCTGCTCCTTCTCCTGCTCCTGCTCCTCCTAAAAACTGGGCTCATCATTTAGTTTGGGATTTTGGTCGGAGAAAGTAGCTATGAAAGAAGCAAAGGTGATGCCAGGCAAAGCTCCGAGAAGGAGTTGTTTTGCCCTAAACCACGAGCAGAAAAAATTTGTCAAAATGATGCGATCGAAGATGATTGAAATCGATGTCAAGACAGAAAAGACGAAACAATCGGGAAAGGATGATTTTCTGTTTCAGAATATACAACGAGCTCGATCCAAGATTGCTGAAAAGAACTTGATTGCAACCTCCATCAAGCAAGATTCTGATAGCATCAACTCCAAGTCTGAGAAGGAGAGAGATGACCTGCAAGTTGTCAGAGCTGACCTCTCACCGAAGCACTAGTTCTGCATCGTATTCGCAACCAGCAATAGTTTGGCGTTGAATCAGCAACTGTCCCTGCTACGTATGCCGGGATCTTTCATTTTGAGCCATGCGAGGATCAGACGCACAGTTGTTCTCTTTCTCCCTCTCTCCCCTCCGCCTCCGTCTTCCTTACCTTTCTGCCTCCCTTCCTGGTTTTTTCACTGTGGCTGGCTGATCCAAGTTCAAGCTTTTCTTTAGCTACAACAAACGACTTTGGGAACTTGCAAATCTGAGAGGGGACAAGCCAGATGCGCTTTCATTCTCCGCGCACAGGAAACACTTCACTGAACGGACCTGAAGTTTCAGCTCATCAACGGCGGGAGTTCTCGCTTGCCAGGCTGAATTGTGTGATGACATACAGCACCGCGGCACAAGCATGCTGCTTTCTCGATTCATTCAGTAGTAGCCCACTGCGACGTTGAACTTGGATGTCACGGATACGGCGTCATGATGATGGCAACAGCCAACGGTTTGTTATACAGGCTTGGCGCCCTCGACTGCATATGATTTCTCAGGCTTCAGTCGGAACTAGCTAGTCCGCTCCGACCAGTGATCAGTAAAATTTTCCACCGTCACCGCTGATCATCCGGGGCTCGGATCCGATGTCGGATCCGGGTCTACGTCATCGAACAGTGTCTGTGGAAACGGTTGGCCGTGGATGAAAAACCTACCTCGCGCATCGCATCTTCTTGGTGTCACATAGTAATGGTAGCCGACCGACCAAACGCAAGTTTCGTGGGAAACTTCCCGTGGCTTGGGGTGCCGTGACCGATTGTTCCCCCGTTGAAGTTACAGTGCTTGCATGCATGCATGCAGAATGCCCACGTTGTCGTGTTCGTTGGATCCGTCGACCCCTTGAAACTGCCACGATTACCAGGATTCCTCCACTATCACTAGAGAGAGAGATAGGCAGACTGAGCGTGTCATGGTTACTCCATGAATCAACAACGCGACACGGCACACACTCCCACACAAAAAAGCACACACCACACACTTCTCTCGATTGCTGGCATGTCTTATATCCGAAAACGAATCACATTTTCGGATTGAGGAAGAAAGGCCACTGCCATTCCGTTTCGCTAGGACGTGTTTATGCTTGAGGTAGTGGATAGTTTGGACACTCACAGGAACTTGATGGAACAGGGAATCTCGGCGCCTCCTTGGCGGAGCTTCATTCTGCGTGCGACAATCACTGGATCCCCTCGCCTGATTTATTTTGGACGTCTGGTAGTGTGCTTTTCATCCCAGCCCAGCGGGAGCTCACGGCACAATCCCTCATGGAGTTTCCTCGGTTGTGCAGTATTCGGGCTAACCTTTCTGAGCGCCAGCGATCTTTGTTGGCACATCACTCCAGCTTCTCTACTCCACTTCGAGTACCAGGCCACCCAGTTGATGAACTTCTGTCTCAGTTTACCCCTCAGCGCACGATCTGGCACTCAATTATGGAAAGTACAAACCTGGGATCTTTGAGCAGCAGCCCATCAGCTTGGTGGCTGCCGCTGACAAGTTTCTTCATGGACTGCCGATTGACCTCCCGCCGCATTGCGATAAACGCCACCATCGTCTCCGTCATCCTGGGGGGACCACACACATGGCAACCTGCAGGCACTGCAGCCCGTTATGGACTGATGCGCATGAGAAGTGCAATGCCGTCCTCAGTACCCTCATCAAAGATTCAGGAGTGAGATGCCGCGTCCATCCTGGCACCAGGCAGAAGGGGGTTGATCCTGGACTTCAGCACTGATGGACTCTTGCAGGACGATGCGTTGCGCTTTCTGTGGTGGCTGGCGGATCCCTCGGCGAACAAAGAAACGGCAGCGCTGGATGGTCTCTCGGCTTCGCAAGACGTCTCAGGTGATCCGACTTGCAAACGCATCCGGTCCAGGATCTTTCGTCAGCTCAAGGCCTCCCTGTCCTTCGCTGCCATCATCGCGGGTGCGTTCAGGTATGCGTCTCATTCCTTCGGCGTTGGCCACCGCGACTTCGCTGGCATGGCGGGGTGCGCGCAGTGATTTTTAACTTAACTTTGAGTAAAGAAGAGTATGGGGCTGCCCCCGGCCGAGTGCCGGGCACCGTTCAGCGGCCCGGCCGGCACTGAGAGTCTATACCGACCGAGCCGGACCAGAACATTGCACCCCTATCTGTTTAGAACTAATTTGAGGACCCCACCCGTATTTTGGTCTGCAAATATCTGAGTTTTGATGGGTGGTCGCTAAACCCCCCACCCACTCATTTGATATTCCTCGTTGTACCCCTAAAATTTTCACAGGAGGTATCACTTTGTACACCCCTGCCAGCATGATACCACCCCTACCTTTTAAGTACCACCCGTCCATTCCTCCTTGACTTGCTTGATCACCCATGGATGTATAATCATATCACTCGATAAGGGAGGGGTCTCGTTAGTACCCCATCCAACTTTATGTACCCCACCTTCCATTTATCTCTCTGTCAAGTACCACTACCCACCCATAGCCTTGCTTGCAATTCATGACCCACCCCCCTTCTACATCCACGTGCCTGGCCCACAAAGATCTCCCAGCAATGGTTTTCTATTTCTGAAAATTCATTTCCATCTTTCATGATGTCATCAAAATGCGAAATTTGTGCCTTTCATTTGATTGCAAAAATTGAAATATCTATTTCTAGCCATTTCCAATAATCACTTCCGAAAAACCCTTCTGGAGGCTGTGGCCTCCGCCATGAGCGAAAATGGCGGGGGGGTGAAGGAGGGCGGGAAAGACAAGAGAAGCTTCAGGAGAGGCTGAACGGAGGCTAGAGCACATGCACAGTCTAATTAGATGACAAGATAGCGTAGATGTGCACGGGGTAGCGCGATCGTATACTGTTCTCTGCTGTGTTTTGATTTCGTGCCCACGAATGGGCTCGGAAGGGAGGTGCGAATTGTTTTGGAAGACGTTCAGGAAAGGAACAATGGGTAGTCATTCATGCTTGAAAGATAGAATGTGAGGCAGATCAGGAGGAAGGGGATTTTGCGAAAAAGATGCATCAGCAATGGACACGAAGAAGAAAGGAGTTCTGTACGAAAAGGCAGAGTTCCTTGCAGAGCTACAATTTCTTCAAGAGATATGGAGAAGGAGGAGAGAGATGGGTATTTCGAAGGTTCATATCATATCGAGGCGAGGTAGGAGCGAATCGTTGAGATGGGGGGAAATCATACCTAACGCATCGTAACGAAAGGATGACTCCTGCTTTCAGATCGCACGCTCACATTTCCAAAGTCTGAAGGGAGAACAAACCCATCTTTCCTAGGATCGTGAAGTTGCTCCGTGTGCTCCTGCCTTTTCTGTCAGTCTCGACCAGCTTTCATCTTCCTCGAAGAAACTTAGGAAGTCATCTTGCCAGACAAGGCAGACCCACAAACAAGCACTTCCAGGTGAGCTAGTGAGACCTTCAGGGAGTGAACATGACATGTCTTGTGCGCAGCAAGAAAAGATGTTGTTTCGCAGCACACGAGGAGCTTTCCTCGACATGAGCTTCGAGGAGGTTTGCCGTCTCTCTTTCCCCGCGTGTTGGTGGTGACGTGTAGGTTCGCAGGCCGTGTTCGAAGGGCTGGCTCAAGACGGAGGACTTCTGGTCCCTCACTTCATTCCAGATGTTAGCAACGAGTACAAGAAGTGGAAGAACCTGTCCTTCCACGAGCTCGCATACCAGATCGCCAAGCCGTATGTGGGAGACGAGATCCCGGAAGCTGACCTCAGAGACCTGATGAAAAGGAGCTATGCGCACTTCAAGGACAAGGACATTGTCCCTACCAAGAAAGTAGGAGATGTGCATATCATGGAGCTGTTCCATGGGCCCACGTTCGCGTTCAAGGACGTGGCTCTGCAAGCCCTGGGAAACCTCTTTGAGTACTTCCTGACGAGGTCGAACAAGAGGATCACGGTAGTGGGAGCGACGTCCGGAGACACTGGGAGCGCGGCGATCTACGGGCTGAGGGGGAAGAAGAATGTGGAATGCTTCATCCTCTTCCCTGAGGGGCGCGTGTCTCCCATCCAGCAGCTGCAGATGACGTCGGTGCTGGACGAGAACGTGCATTGTGTGGCTGTGCAGGGAACTTTCGATGACTGTCAGGATATTGTCAAGGTTAGCAAAGAGGAGGAGGGCAAGGAGGTGGAGGGGAGGGGAAAATGGAGACTGTGTGAGGAAGGGAGGCGAGGAAGGGAGGAGGGAGGGGTGGGGGGAGAGGGGAGGTGAACTGAGGTGGTTACTGTGCTCGGCAGGCGCTGTTCCGCGATCTTAAGTTCAAGAAGTCTTACTCACTAGGAGCTGTCAATTCGATCAACTTTGCAAGGATTATGTTTCAGATCACATACTACTTCTACACCTACTTCAAGGTGTTTCCCAACTGCGACGGGAAGATGAGCTTCAGCGTTCCAACAGGTTGGTCCTCGTCCTCCTCCTCCTCCTCTTCATCATCATCATCATCATCATCATCATCATTTCATTATCAACTGATACGACGACAATCACAACAACAACTACTTCGACTTCTGACTCCCACTCTTGCAGGAAATTTTGGTGACATCCTGGCTGGGTACTACGCGAAGAAGATGGGACTGCCTGTACAGCACCTCATTGTAGCCACAAACTCCAACGATATCCTTGACAGGTGAGAGGAGGGGAGGAGGGGAGAGAAGGTTTGAGGGATAGCCGAAGCGAGGAGCTGACAGTGCTGATCAGGTTTTTCACGACAGGGAGCTATGACAAATCACCTGTTCAGCAAACTTTCTCGCCGTCGATGGACATTGGGATCAGCAGCAACTTCGAGAGATATCTCTTCTATCTCTTCGACGAGGACAGCAAGATCCTAGCGCATATGATGGATGGTTTCAACAAGACGGGAAGGCTCTCTGTCGACGAGGCCCATGTGATCTCCTCCTCCTCCTCCTCCTCCTCCTTCTCCTCCTCCCATTTGCCCTCTCCTCTCCAGCCGGCATCCTTGCTCTCTCACTCCGTCTCATCTCCTTCCCACCTTATCTTCCTTGTGCTCTCCCACCTGACGCTGCTGGCAGCTGGAGGAAGCGAGGAGGGACTTCCTTTCGGGCCGTTGCTCGGAGCAGGAGACGCTCGATACCATCTCGAAGTACCACAAGGACTTCAACTACACCCTTGACCCGCACACTGCATGCGGAGTAAGAGCAGCAGAGCAGGTCAGAGCTTGTTTCTTCTTTCCTCTTCCTCGGTTCTACTCCTCGCTCCAGCTGCTGCGACCTCCAGTCACCTACTCCTTCTCATTCTCCCCTCTAGCTCCCTCCCTCACCTTATCCTTCGCTGCATTCCTCTTCCCTCTCCTCCTCCCCTCCTTCCAGCTCCCTCCTGCTGGCCCTCATTGGCTGATGATTCTGCTTCAGCTGCTTGACAGGATGGAACCCGTATGTAAGAATGCCAGCGTCAAGCACGCGATGGTTGTGTTGTCAACAGCCCACCCTGCCAAGTTTTCTACGGTGATGACTCCTCCTCTCTTCATCCTTCACCTCCTGACTCACTCTCGCTTCCGTGGGCCCTTCCCATTCTATCTCTTGTCTTCATCCTCCCTGTCCCTCTCCCTCTCTCCTTCCCTCCCTCCTCCCTCCCTCACTCCCTCACTCCCTCACTCACTCCTCTCTTTCCTTCAGGCTGTTCAGAAGGCAACTGGCTCACCCCCCAAGTTGCCCGAGGGGCTCGCGAAGCTGGAGAACGCGGAGGTCAGGTTTCAAGTCCTCCCGGCCAAGACCCCCTCCATCAAGAACTACATCGAGGTATGAGGGTGATGTTTCGATCGTGACGGGGATGATTGAGGGACAGGTGACGATTCCTGATCCTACGGGCTCGCGGAACGTCTACACGCTGAAGCACTATGCTGCGTCATTGGTGGCACTCGGGTGAGGAGAGGGGACCAGAGAGCAGAGGGGAGGGAAGAGGAGGGGAGGGAAGAGGAGGGAAGAGGAGGGGAGGGAGAGGGAGAGAAATCAGGAGTGGGTTGTTGAGGTGTGGATGGGTTTCAAGGAGGAGGAGGAGGAAGTGCTGACTGCAGCCGGCAGATGTGCATTTGGGTTGGGGGTTCTCATGGGGAAGAGGGGTCAGTAAGAGGAGAGCGCATGTTGTGTTTTTGATCGTAGGAGGACGCAAGTGTGAATGGAATTATTTCTTGGGTTTCAAGTGTTTGTCTACCCTTGCCCTTCCTCCTGCCTTCTCCTTTCTCCCGCCTCTGCTCTGCTTCCTGCCTTTCTCCTCCTCGTCCTCCCTGACTCCATCTTCCTCCTCTCTCGCCGCTCGTCCCACTCCTCAAGAGGCCAACAGTGCATGTGCAGTCGTTCATTTGCTCGTCTAAGAATCTTCTACCTCCTTCTCGTAGTCGCTCTTGTTGACGATCTTCAACCCCTGCTGTAGCGCCACTTGGTATTCTTCCAGCACCACACGGACCTGCAAAGAAAATGAGAATCTCCTTCCCCTGTTCCCCTTCCCATCACTTCCCTCCCTCCCTCCTCCTCTCAACTCCGCCCTTCTCCACCCATTCCTCGCTCCCTCCTCTCTCTCCCAACATCCTCCCGCTCTTCATCACCTTGTCCTCTTCTGCAATCCTCGCTTCCTTCTCGAGCTGCAGTACCCTCCTCAACTCCCTCAGCTGCTCGAAGATCTTCAGCTGCGCCCTCTCCCCGGCCTTGATCTCCTCGTGCTCCAACACCTCCAGCCTCTGTACAATCAACTTGTTCTCGTCCTCACGCACGATCTTCTCCTTTCTCACGGCCTCCTTGAGCAACGCGATCTCCGCTGTCAGGTGCTTGGCAGTCTTCTCATCCTCCTCCCTCCTCGTCTTCGACTCCACGCGCATCCCCGCCTGTATCCTGTCCAGCCGCTCGCAGAGCTCCAGCTTGCACGCCTTAAGTTCCCGCTCGTTCTTCTCCCTGACCTCTATCAGCTTCGTCTCCGTCTCCTCCAGGCGCCCTTTCGCTGCCTCGATGTCTTTCTTCAGCTCCTTGAAGCTGACCTGCATCTGATGCACGAGGGCCTCCTGCACTGTCTCCAGTCGAGTCTGCGCGAGCTTGTCCAGGGCAGCATCCGCCTCCTTCCTCTTGAGGATCTCTGCACCGAGCTTCTCCTCGATCCTCTGCGCGTAAAGGTTCGTCTCCTCCACGCGCTGCTCGTCGAACTTGCGGCGATCGCGCTGCTCATCTGTGATGTCCTCGAAGAAGGGGATCAACGATTGTTGGATCGCGATGTACTCTGGCGGATCAATCTTCATCGGCATCTTGGGGATTTCCTGGCACAACGTCAGAACACCGGAGTGCGTGTGGTTCAAACCACCAGCTCAGGCTGCGGTTCTTCTTCTCCGCCTTCTTGCTCGTCCGCCATGTTGACTGTAGAAACTGCAGAACAAGTCATATGGAGAGACGGGAAGAGAGACTGGTGGAGAGACGTTGGCTGATCATGTATGTTTGATCATTGTAGTCGTGATACATCGACCCACTTATGTCATATCATGCCATGTCTCTTCCCTGCCTCCTGCCTCCTGCCTCCTGCCTCCTGCCTCCTCCCTCCTCCCTCCTCCCTCCCTCCTCCCTCCTCTTCGCCTCCTGCTCCATCTTCCGTAGCATCTTGCGGTTGAAAAATCAAGAAAGGCGGGGTGGTCTCCGGGAGGGTGGTAGCTGTAGGGATAGGTGGGGTGGTGTAGCATTTGGGTGGTTGGAATGCCATAACGAGGGGTAGGGGTGCTCTAAATATGGACCGACCCTACCCTGTGGGAAAGGCGCATCTTGGTTGCTAGGAAGAATTTGAAAGTGTGGGTGGGGTGGTATTCATATTCTCCGATGAAGGGGATCTTGAGAGATGTCGAAGGGGTGGGGGTAGGGGGAAAAAAATTTAGGTGGTAGGGTAGTGGTACTGTAGGGTGATGGAGAAGGGTGGGGAGTGGGGGGGGAATCGATTCAGAGGAAGCGGAGGAAGAAATGGAATCGGAGATGGAGGAGGAAGAGGGAGAGGGAGAGGAGGAGGAGGAGGAGGATCGAGAGGAGGATCAGGATCAGGATCAGGAGGAGCACATGAGAACTGGGAAAGGAGGAGGACTGGGACCAAGACAAAGAAGAAGAGAAAGAAGGGAGGAGGAGAAGAAAGGCGAGGGGAAAACGGAGGAATTTGAGGGGATGGGAATGCTTCTGATGAGAGAAGTGGCACGGAAAGGGAAAAGATGTGAAAGCGCAGAGTAAATATTTGCTGTCACAGAGAAAGATGGAATGGTAAGGAAGAGATGCTTGAAGGACCGCAACAAATCTCGATGAGATTTGGGAAAGTGTGTGAAGGAGTAGGAGGGAAGAACAGATTTCTTCAACAGATTTGTAAGTGGGTAGCATGAAATGGAGAGAAACAACAAGACGGAGACAGAAATGTGAGATACGAGACTTATCAGCATGGAGAGAGATTCCGCCTATGACGCTGGAAGAAAAAGTTGTTGTTAACTTTGCTTGTGGATTGATTCGGAGTGGCAGGCAGGATCACAATGAGTGACTCGGACGAGCATCATGCTGCGCCTGAAGCAGGAGCGGTCAAGAAAGACCTGATCTACAAGATGAAGGCCTTCAAGAGAAGGACCCTTCACTCAGTTCAGAAGGTGCTGGCTGGAGGCAGTGCGAGGGGTCGGGTGGCAGGTGAAGTGCTTGTCCAGGTTGTTGGCAAGGTGCAGGAGACGAAAGACATCGAGTTCGACGAGCTGTTCGAGAAGTTCCTTGACGTGAGCGCAAGGATGGAGAAGCTGAACAGGTGCCGGGCTGTGTGGAGTCCCTGGTGGAGGCATGAAACGTACCGCAGGAGCGCGCACAGATACATGGAAACGCAGATGAAATTCCTACAGTCAGGGTCTGACTTTGCGAGAGATTTCCTTGAAATGTCAGTCTCCCCTTTCCCTCCCCTTCCTATTTTTTCCCTTCCCCTCCCTCCCTCCCCGTTGTCTCCTTCCCTGTCTCACCCTTTGACTCTCCCGGCATTTCTCCCTCCCTCCCCTCTCTCTCCCTTCCGCTCCCTCCTCCCCTCCCTCCCTCCTTCACGTGCACCATGGTGCTGAGTGGTGGCATGTAGGTACGACAATGACCCACAACTGAAGAGAATCGCGGTAAAACCGGCCACTTGTTGTTGCTATGACGTCTCAACGTTGCACCTTCAGATGGACTTCGATTCATCTCACGAGACCCTTGTCTCTTCCGTTGGTCCCAGACTTCAGGGTGAGCTGGGTAGATTGGTGTGTTCTCTTCCCTCAGCATGGCTGCTTGTTCAGACCGCTGGCTCTCCTCCATCGTGGAGCCCTTGGACAAGGTTGTTGAGAGGTTCAAGGAGATCAAGAACGATGCGGAGAGAAGGAAGAGGTACTTCGACGTGCTGTTCCCCTCCTCCCTTGTTGAGCGTTGTTGCAGATATCTGGCAGATTACGATCATTATCGTTTGAAGAAGAAAGGGCTCGAAGACGACGCGAAGAAGGTTTGCTCGGCTGTGCTTGTCTGAGCTGCAAGGTGAAGCGGTTGCAGGAGAAGAATCAAGAGAAGCTGCGCGAGTGTGAGGAGAAGCTATCAGCAGCTCAGGCGAAGGTATGGAAGACGACTGGGGGAGGTTGGCTGACGAGCATGGCAGTACTTCACCATGAACGAGAAACTTACCATCAGGTTGCGGGCGGCGGAGTACAACAAGGTCAGGAGGACGGGGAGTGTGGGGAGGGTCGAGGGTTGAACCTGCTCTGCCTGCCAGACTGCCTTGCTCAACGATCCTCTCCTAGCGGCGATCTCAGTGCAGCACGACCTCTTTAGCCAAGGTCAGTCCCTGTGCGCCTCCTCCCGTCCTGATCGCATGCGGAAGGCAACGCGGACTTTGAAGTCTTGTACACGAAATCGAAGGAGCCCAACGTCGCAGAGGTGTGTGAGCAGAAGAGGAGAGGAAGATGGGAGAGGAGAGGAAGATGGGAGAGGAGGGAGCGGTTAGGTAAGGAGAGGAAAGCAGAGGAGAGGAGAGGAGAGTAAAGTTTGGAGAGGAGGGAGGAGAGGAGGACAGGACAGGACAGGACAGGGAAGATGGGAGTGGAGGGAGGAGAGGGCACAAGTAGGGCACAAGCGTGGAGGAAAGGAGAGGAGAGGAGGTCGGGATATCCGTGACGCAGGCTTTCCAGGCTTGCAGCGCAGAGGCTGAGGAGTTGGCACAGATCGACTCGCAGGTAGGAAGGGATCGTGCGGGGGTAGATGACTTGACGCTCCTGTCCAGCTCCGCAGCATCTCCTTGTCATCTGTCAATCATCGGGAAAGGAACTCGTTCGATCATCCTCCTCAATCTCACGGGTTTGCGAGCACAAGTGAGCAACACAGAGGGTTTGAAGACGATTTCAATAAGGTAGATGCATTGCCTTGTTCAGCCTTCGGAGCTGACTCCTCCTCCTCCTCCTCCTCCTCCTCCTCCTCCTCCTCCTCCTCCTCCTCCTCCTCCTCACCTTCTTCCTCTCCCTGCTTTCCTCCTTTCTCCCTCCCTTCTCCTTCTTTCTCTTCCTGCTCCTGTTTCTCAGCCCACTCCTTCCAACTTCAATGACAACACCTTTGGGATGTTTGAAGACGCGAGGTCGTTGGACCCGAGCCCTCACGTACAGGTAAGATTGACTCCTCTCCCTTCACCTCCTCAAGAATCCTCCTCGTCATACATTCCTCCCCATTTCTCATCCCTTCCTCCAATCCTCCCCTCCTACTCCCTCCACCCCTCCTGCTCCCTCCCCCCTCCTGCTCCCTCCCATCCTCCTTCCTCCTGTTCTCCAAGTACTTCTCCTCCCACCTCCTCCCTGCCTCTCGTTCACACGCGTTGCCTTCTAGCCACCGCCTCCTCCTCCTCCTCCTGTCGAATCCAAGAGGCTCGTCAAGGTGAACTTTCCTCGTGCGAGTTTTGTACTGACGATCCTCCTCCTCCTCCTCCTCCTCCTCCTCCTCCTCCTCTCCCTCCTCCTCCTCCTCCAGGCTCTCTTCGCCTACGAGGCTGCCGCTGAGATCGAGCTCTCCCTGGAGGAGAACGACATCATCGAGGTGTTGCGTGAGGACGACAGCGGCTGGTGGCAGGGGAGGAAGGATGGGAGAGTTGGCTGGTTCCCTTTCAACTACGTCGAGATCATCTGATCAAGGGCATCGATCACCCCTCTCCTTCCTCTCCTCCCTCCTCCTCCTCCCCCTCTTCCTCCCTTCCCCTCCCTGTTGTCCTCCTCGGAGGGAGGCTGTTATCAACCTGTCGTCACCTCGACGGCTTGTAACCTCCAGGAACTCGGTTCCCTCGAGTTTGACAGTGAGTTGAAATATTCATTCTTAATGATGAAAGTTGCTGGTAAAGCTCTGTGACTGCACCTCTCCGCTCCTATCCTCCTCCTCCTCCTCCTCCTCCTCTCCACACCTCGTCCTCCTCCTCCTCCTCCTCCTCCTCCTCCTCCTCCTCTCCACACCTCGTCCTCCTTCCTCTTTTCCTCCGACCACGACTTTTGCCCTCCTCAACTCACTGACTCCTCTCCGCTCAGTCGTAGTCATGAGCGAAATTTGGGTTGTAGAAGCTGAGCAACCCATCTCGGACGTACATCGGACCTTGAAGAGAGTGAAAGTGGAAAGAAGAGGAGGGAGAAGAAGGGGGGGGGGGGGGGGGGAAAAGGGGGGGGGGGGGGAGGGGGAGGGGGGGGGGGAAGGGGGGCTGGGGAAACGGCTCCCCCACCAAGGTTTCTCTAATTGAAAAACTTTGAAGGGGAGGAAAACACCTTGTTGAAGAATCCCAGGACTAGGAGAAAAATGTAGGCTCGGATGAAGAATAAGACCAGGGCTAGGGACCCGCCCTTGTTCAGGACTAGGACCAAAAATAAGGAAAAGGGGGATGACTTTAATTAACAGTTGTGAATGGTAGGAAAAAGGAAGGAAATATTGATGGTGGGGGAGGGAACATTTCCCTCTTGTCTGTGGTGGTGGAAGAGTTCTCATGTGCTTTGAGGCCCCCCCAAAAACCTCTGGGATCCAATCCAGTTTTTTCATAATAAAGGGTCAAAGGAGGGGGTTAATCTCCTCCCCTGAGTCTTTGTGCAGTAATATTTCTGTGTAATAAGGCAGGGTAATGTCTATCTTCCCTACCTATAGGATGTTCGACATTACCTATAATAAAGTAAGATGGATGCAAAAGCTTGTAAAAATCTTTGTTGTGAATAAAACTCCACAATGTTA